CTGAAGGCATCAGGAGCCAAGTGATTAAGCCCCATGCAGTGCTCTGACAGGAGGCCTTCTTCTTGCCTACGCATACTTTTTTAAGTATAGAAAGTGTTTCCATATTTCCAGCAGCTGATCTTTATTTGAAGCCAAGAGCTGGATTTTTCAGATTAGAACTGAAGCTTTTCTATGAAAAGCCTCTCCAGAGCAGAGCATTGGTCCATCTAAATGTCTCCAACAGACAGTGTCTCCAGCAGAGGCCCTGCACTCTGCTTAGACAAAAAAATCCTAAAGCCCTCAGGGCTCTCTCCAGGGATAATTTATATTTTACTCCAAGAGTTAGAGTTTGGCTTTCACTCCAGCATCTGTAGGCTTATATTCTTTCCAAAACTCTTGCTTATTTTATTAATCTTTATGGTTCCCTGGAGATGCTTGTTGCTTGCAGACCTCTGACAACATTTGAGAAACCTCTTGAGCTGCTGACCTCCGTGTCCTGCAGCAGCGAGTTCCCCAGGCCAGCTGGGGAATTTTCTCCATTTCAGGTTTGATGCATTTAATGTGGAAGCATTCCCTAAGCTTCCCATCTCACCCAGCTGGCTTCTCATTACAGCAACTCACCTAAAACTCTGAGCTGCTTCTGCCACGCAGGGAATCCCTGCTAGGAGACAGGCTGTGCCTGTGCAACACTGCTCTGCCCTGAAATGTGACTCAGCCGTCCTAAGGATCCGCTTTTTTAATTTTTCAGAGCTTCCAGGTTGAGAAGAATACATTATTCTGTCAGCTTCTCCTGCAGGCATGGTGTGTTTTCTTCTTGTGTCACTGGAATAGTAAAAGTTTGTGGAAAGTCATAGTGTCCCTGCTATGTGCATAGCACACAAAGCCAGGACATAATACAGGTGTGAGGAGCTGTGGGGTGGCAGGGACGTGGCACTGTACTCCCTGTGCCTCTTTTTTGGTAAAGTGAAAATTCCAATACTAAAGCTTCTTTGCAGACCATGGTGAGACTTGCAGGTAGAAGGGCGAGAGGGGCACTGTATTGTAGTCCCATGCTTATGATGACAGTGAACCAGCAAAGAAGTGCATGGACAATGGACAGGATGGCTCAGTGTTCAGCCTGCCCTTCCTTCATCTGTCTGGCCTTCTCTGTCCTTCTGCTGCAGAGGGCTTGGCTTTTGCTGGGGTAGGAGAGAGGTGTGGAGCAGGATACAATGAACAGCCTTCATCAGCCTCTAGTAACAAACTGGCTAGATGGTTGTATACCCTGAGCTCTGTGGCAAAACTTAGATGGTGCTCTGCAGACATGGCCTTGGGTCCAGCAGGCAAACAAACAAACAAAAAAGTACTAGAAACAGCTGGGGAATAGGATGAAAATGAGCATTATTAGGAGTATACTTAATAATAACTTATGAACTGGGGAGTGCATCATTACTGCACTGGGCCCTCATGGAGATAGATTTGCTGTTGCTTTTGGAGCCCCTGTTACAGCCATTGGTTTTCCCATTTATGCATGCTTTCCTCCAGCTCTTGCTGGAAAACTTGACAGCACGCTCTGAGATGTAGCTGCTAACACAAGCATTATTTCAGGAGCTGGAGTGGCCTCTGAAAGCAGTGGCCATGGCCATCTGTGGGTCATGAGCTGCCACTTGGGTGACCATGTACATCAGTCAGACTAAGGGCATTGTTTTAGGCACTGATTTACCTTCAGGAGTTTCCTCCGTCATCCTGAGGGAAGTTTTACAGCTTTGGGGATTTTTGTCAATTCCCTGGCTCTAGGATGGGCTCACAGTTTTCTGAATTTGTTCTTCATTTGGGATTTTTGTCAATTCCCTGGCTCTAGGATGGGCTCACAGTTTTCTAAATTTGTTCTTCATTTTGGAGCATGACTGACCTGTCCTCATGAATACTGAGAAAGGTGAAAACACGTGCTGGCAGAGCACTCACCCAGTTCATGTCTTTTCTTACCTCTCCTGTGCACAGTCGGGACACTGGGGCTGGTAGCAGTGAGCCCCTTGCATGCAGCCTGACCTGCTCCAGCTCAGGAGGTTACCAGCTTTAAAAGTCATACATTTTTCTCCTGGTCTCCATGGATATTATCTCTGTGAGATGCAGTCCTGCCTTGTGGGAGAGTGTTTGAAATTGTCCTTCAGCCCTCAGTCTGGTGGACTCTTGCTGAAAAGTCCTTGCTCTGTGTTTGACATTTACAAATACTGCACCCACCAACATTATTTTGGTAATGTTCACTAAGACTGCAGTTGCATAATGTCTGCTTAAGAACCTAAGAATTTACTTTGTTGTTTCTCTGACACATTTTTAAAATATTGGCCAAAATTCAACTTAGACTGACACTGCTGTTCTTTAAGCTGGAGAAATTTGGCCCAGTGTCTTTAACCCTACTTCAGTGTCTGAGTCCTCGTGATGTGTCTAGCATGTGGGGTGTTCTCCTTTGCCTCATGGTTGGATGAGACACTTAGATACAAAGCTGCTTAAATTCCAAGGTTGCCAGTGGCTGAGTGGTTCCTACATTTGATGAAGTCTGGGATCTGAGGGGTTACTCTTGTTGAGAGGGTAAGGTAATAGCAAGTCTCATATACTTAACACAGAGTGCACAAAATCCTGCTGA